CCAATTTCCAAACCAGTAAGTCTCAGTTCCCAGTAACTTACCTAAAATACACATACTTCTTACTCTCTTCAGTTCACAAGTTTCTTAACATTAATTTAGATACCTTCAAACTACCAGCTTAAGACCATGGGGAAAATAGCAATCGGAAAAAAACTGCCCAGTTACCTCATAATACTGAAATTGTTCTGGATCATCAGTTAGCTAAGTTCTAAGGCAGGAGTCAGAAATTTCTTTACTTCTCTCTGAAGAAGTAAGCTTGAGTGCCACTGGCAGGCCTACAGCAAGAATAAAAAAGGAGAGAGAAACAAAGAAAAAGGATAGGAGAGAGAAGATGCCAGATGTACATGGTAAGGAGGTAGGTCAAGTGCCACCAACTACCTGCATTGAAAATTGCCAATCCGCTCCAGCTGAATGGGAGTTTGACCCAAACTCAACATGTGTCTGATAAGTCATTAGCTGATGGCCACCATTGTTTGAGCTAGTCAAGATGAATAGGTAATTCACCTGTCCCATAACTTTAACTGCCACTTCACGATAAGGACATATTTTCTTAATTCCTCCTAGGATCCTTCTGTGTTAATCTACCTTAGACCAAAACACACACTAATGAGAGTATTTCCATGTTTTTCACAATTCTAGAATATAAGGACTTGGTCCTTGAACTTGGAGGCCTCTTGAATTATTAAAGTGGAACCAAAATCAAGAAAATTAAACTCTTTAGCCAAAAAATTTTTTCCATCTAATGTTACAAAATAAGCTAATTGCTAATAATTATCAAAACAATCTGTGTATTTATGAAAACGTGAAAATCTTGTGATTCCAAAATGAGTGAAATACTTCTGATGTGTAAGAAGCAACTTTTACATAGAGGATCACCACCATGTTTCTACCTATCAACAGGACAATTTTCCACAAAAGCAAAGGACATCAGAAGGAAAAATACAAAACAAAACAAATACCAAACATGGGGACAAAATAAAAATGAATGAGTAGTTATGACATTCTTGTTAAGAAAAATGTTAACAAGTGACCTTTGCCACACTCAGCTTTCCTAAAGACATAAATTGCCTGGACCATTCAACACCAAAACTTGGTAGTTAGCTTAGCAGATTCACTGGCTTGGAACCAATCATTATTTCTTTTTTCATCTGGTTGTTCTTGTATCATGAAATTCTACCTGACTCATGCTAATTCTGGCTTATTTTCACTTAGCCTGTAATAATCAAATTTCTGTTCAAAAAGAACGTGTCAAATGGCCTATGCCTTAAATTTAGGTTTTGTTTTAGGATCAATTAAATTCTTAAATGTTAAAATCAGCTTTTCTTAAAAAATGTATCACTAATTCTGCAAAGAAGACTCTAAAATAATTAATTTGTGAATAGCAGTGATCACTTTAGTTTTATAGCATACTTATGAATGGCCAAAACTTTGTTAACATGCAATGAAGAAAACAGAAATACTGTGATTTAAAAATTGATACCCTTTAACAAATCTACACAAATAACTTTGGTGAATTTATTTACGTAAGCAATTCCAATAAATTCTCTCTCCTACTGATTTCACTCTCAAGGAGATGTGTGTATCTATATACATATGCACACACACAATGCATATATACATATATATGTGTGTGTATATGTATCTCTCCAAATTATGAAGATATTCAAATTTAGGGATAATAAACTATAAACGTTATACTCAGAGTTATCACCAACTATTCCAAACTTAAGTTGCTATAGATACTCTTGTTTTAGCATCCTTTTACGTAGACGGCAAGATCTCATTCTGATACTCAGAAGATTTTAAAAAGGGGAAAAAGTCATCAGACTTGGTATCTCACTTTTTATGGTGAAGAAAATCTTAAAATTATGTTCACATGTAAAATAAAATGAATTGTGGAGCTATGAAAGCTACTAGAGCATCAATTTCAGATAGCCCCATTCTAAAATTATTTGGAAATGTGTATGTATATATAACCTGAAAAAATGAACGGGAATATTGTAGACAAGAAGGTGAACCATGTGTGGAAGATAAAAATAATCATGCCCGTACGGTAGGGTCACAGGGATAGCAGATAACCCAAAATGTCATAAAAGAAAAATGTGTTTAGAAAGTTTCAACAGGGCCAAAACACAAAATGTTAAAAGCACACAAACAAAAATGAATGAGATAATCCCCCCAAACATCAAGTTACATAAGAAAATAGGAAGAAAAAAGTTGACACAGTATCTTTTAAAATACATCAAACTTAACTGACTTAAAAAATGATATAAAGTGCTTGGGCCATGATACCCACCCAGATTCTCATTATCAACGGATTTATCTTTTCCCCTCCCTTCCACCCAAATTTAATTCAGTTTTCCTGAAGAAAAAGTACAGCATCCCTATATTAATAAGAAATGAAAACAGTGAGTACAACTGATATAGATCCATTGACTTTTATTACAAATGTACTTGATCACTTGGCTTCAAAAAGTTTAAAATCAATACCCTATTTTCTGTATGCCAGTACAAAGCAAACTGTTTTACAAATTAAATACCTAAAAATTTGACAAAAATATTAAAATTTGATGAAAAACAATTATAAAAATCCTTAATCTCTCTTCAAAAAAGGAGGCAGTCTTCCCAGTTCTATTATACAATATTAATAATATTCACCATTTTTAGAATAGGTAGCTAAATTATATCTTTCTGTTAGCATACAAAACTTAGACTTATAGATTTTATTTGTATATGCTCCAGTTAAGTTTGTGAATGCCATCTGATTGCAATATAACCAACTATCTTTAATTGAATCCTAATTTACACTTATTTAATAATTTGCATAGTTTGAAAGGGATAAAGGTTATTCTACAACTAATTATCATAGGCTATTACAGTGCTACTTTTCAAGGCAATAAGTATTTGCTCCCAAATGAAATTATCTGTCTCCTTTAGGCAGGGGTTAAAATTACTAGCAGCTTTCTCTATTACCTGAAAAATCATATTGGAAGTTATCCATCTCTAGATGTGAAGGCCTAAAAAAACATAATATACTTTCCGCTTTGAATCAAATTTCAACCCCTGCATGGGACAACTAGAAAGTGAGACTTTCAAGGTTTTTTATTTCCCTGTTGGTTTTGGTTTCTACTCTCCATGGCTTTTTAAGAAGCTGGAAAACAGTTTGTCTTTCCTGACTAGCATTGTCTTTTTTTCCATTTGGCAAATATTCATCTACCTCCAATCTGTATCTACTGGAGGAAAAGCCGACATGGCTTTTCTTATGAACTTCCTTTGTTGTCAAAGGCATGTATAATGATTTCTACAGTTCTGGTTAGTTAACTTTAGCTCCCTCTGTGGCTGGATGACTGCTGCTTCTAACATCAGCATGATAAATAGGAGGCACAAATAAAAAGTAGCTTAAAAAAATTGGTGATTTAAAAGAAAAAAAACAACTTCAAACACACACACATACATGAGCATTTCAAATCTGGTGGCTGATCTCTGGATTAAATTACTTGACAGTGTCTCTCATTTTAAAGAACGTCAATATTGCAATGCAGTTCAAGTTTTCTTTTATACTTAGGCAAATAATACAGTTTAACCAAGCTCTTGGACCTTAATTGTAAGACAAAGCAGATCAATAAAAATAAGGCATACTTCTCAGGAATTAAGTTTTGTTTGCTTGTTTTTGGCACATTTGATCATACTGTCTTCTATGAATAACACATATGGTCAAATATACCATTTCCTTATTTGTTTCAGCACAAACAGGGTTTACCAACTAGCAAAATAAAAACAAGGAAAAATTCTAACATAAAACACTGATATATAGAACCTTGGTAAAGTACCGAGCACCTGGGAGGGAAGGGTAGGGAAAAGATGAAACAGGAGAGGGAAGACAAGGTTTGGGAGGGTGCTTGGGGAGGTAAAGTGAGATGCTTAAAAAAAGAGCATCTTTACAGTCACTTAGTCTTTTCTACGATCACTTTTTAAGTCTTAAAAGATCTGCATGTGGATTTCTTTTTAAACCCACTGACCATAAATCAGACACTGGTTTTAAAATCGTAGTAAGATTGTATTCAACTGTTTTAGTGTAAAGACAACTGCACAATACATGTGCTTCTTGAGCCGGTGGGATTCCAAGCAGAATCTGAAGTCTATAGGTAAGAAAGGCTTCACTTTAGGTAACTCTGGCCCTAAAGAAAACCTCATGAAAGAACTCGCATCTCAAAGAAAGGACACTTTGCCTAAGTTTGCTGTGTTTTTGTTGACTTGCACTACTTATTGCTGGCTACTATGAAACAGTGATCTAGGAGTACTCCAACAACCTGTAGTACAAGGCTTAACTTTAAGAAGCTATAGTAAACAAGAGACAAAATCAAAGCAATTCTCTTTCCTAATTAGTAACAGCACAGAGAATGCAGTCTTTTCCATATCACAGTTAAAGTACAGTGAACAAAACAGCTCAACAAACCTTAAGACAAAAAAGTGCAGGTTATTAATGTTTACATGCAGTTGATAAGCATTCCAAATGTCACATTATGCACTGTAAAAGCTCAACTTTACTATATGGAAATAAGAAAAATGCACCTCTAGGGAGGGGGAAAAGCAATTTAATCATTTCCAGTGATTTTGTAAGTAAAGAAACTCCTAACTACTGTACGGTCACCTCATATTTAACATTGTATGAATATTAAAAGCAAACAATTTAATGGGAAAATGCACAGTACAATGAAAATAGCTTGTTATTCAACACATACAGTAGATCTCAATAACGAAGACAACACACTCAACCAGGGAGCATAAAAATATCAAATCAAAACCCAAAGAACCAGCAGAAAAAAAATCCTTCAAAAAGACAACTGTTTGCCTTCCTAGGCCAATGCTTTACAATATGAGAAGCACTGATACCTTCCCGCTCCTACAGGTGGTGTCTTATACATACAGCAGTTAGATCTATATGGCTGGATTTGCCAAGAAACAATTCCATCCCCAGAACTCTCTGTCAGACAAGACCCTTTTTTTTTTTTTTTTTTTTTACCAAAATACTTTCTACAGAATTCCAAACCAAAATGTACTGTTTAAGGCATCTTTTTTATAACATTTTCTCTTCACTCAAAGATGATAGTCATGCAGCAGTTTAATGATAAAAATATATTAATATTTTACTATACAGCAGCAAGAAGTTAGTTGTCAATTAAAAGCACACAAACATCTTTAAATGAAAACCTGTAAAAGACTATCGTTACAAACAATTTCAGTTTGGAGGACACCAGCTTGGTAAAGTGCTCTCCTAAACTTTGCATTTTCATACCCTACACCTTGAATATATGAGTTATAGAACATACTTTTGATAGAAGGCTTGTACACTTGGGGAACACAAATACACTTAGCATATAATGTAGCCAGTAATAACTAGCACCACAGCTACATGGAAATCCTTTACATACACCAACTTGGCTTTCACTTTTAAAAAAAAACTCAGAATCCATGGCTCAGTAGGATAACTATAATTGTGTTGCTCTGCTTTTTAACAGGTCTACATAAGTTAACAGCACTAGCAAAAATCAAAGAATAGCTTCAGACCTCTTACAAGTTTAGGAGACAGTGCTAGTGACCACGAATAGACTCACTACCTGATGTCCAAGTACAGGTTCACTGGAAATTGCTGCACGTTAGTTAAGTTTTTAAAATCTTTCTACACATAATAAAAAAAATATATTATGAACGATACAAGTACATCTCATATACACAATAATGACAAAACGCCTACTCAAAGCAAACAGATGCAGAAAAATATTATGGGAGATCTCCTTTTTCTTTCTTTTTCCTTTTACTATTTGAATAACTTTGGTTCCAACCATAAAAATCACAACTTAGCAAATTTCATTTAAATGCCTTTTTTAATAATTTCTTCATGTTCACAGAAGTTTCACTGACCATTTTATATGTTTAAGGTCCAGATGCAATGCATATTGTATAAAAGAGAGCACTTATTGTTTACCTTGCATGAATTAAACCTACGTACCTTTAACTCTACAAACTTCTGCATAACATTTAGACAAAGCTCAGACACACAGCATGCCTAGCCCTCATATATATACACATCTCTAATCACAGGTATATAGGGTGTCAAATATACTATAATAACCTCCATGTAAGGTTTGAAATTTGGTAACAAAATGAGAAAAACTAAAAATATTATTTTACGTGTTCTAAAATATCTCTTTTTTGTGCTAAAGTCAAATGTTAGCTCAACATGAAAAGGACTTTTATATAATTCAGCAATATTATAATCTTGACCATTTTGCAAACACTTTTTAATAATAATAGCTTAAACGTGTACAAAAGTTCTTGGTTAATTAGGGAAATAAACACTCAGTTCTTTATATTTTTTAATCAAGTAGGAAACACAGTTCATATAATGTTATTACTTTTTGTATTTTTTTTGTTTTTAGCAGCTGCTTACTGTTTTATATGGTGGATAAAGTGGACAACATCCAGCGATGGGTGGCAAGTCAAGAAGAGAAACTGTCAGTTGGTGGAGGTTCTGTGGGTGGTGCTCCCTTGGAGTTAACAGGTTTTTTTTTTTTTTTTTTTTTAACTTTTTAACTTTTTATTTTCTCTCTTTCTTTACAGTATATTTTCTCTGTGTGTGGCTGTGTGTGTGTATGCATGTGTGTGTGTGTGTGTGGGTTTCATTCAGTTTGATCAATCTTCTTCCCCTTCTTCCTCACCCTGCAGTAGCAGGGTGGCAGCGGCGGTCTCCTCCTGCTGCTGCTGTTGCTGCTGGTGGAGCTGCTCACAGGCAGCCCGCTTCTCCCTCTGCTTCTCTTGAATCTTCTTCATCTCCTCCGAGTACTTGCAGAAGGTGTGTCCGAACTTGGCCCACACCTTGTAGGGCACGGTGATGGAGTTGCGGTAGGTGGGCTTCACCTCGCTCACTCGCATAAACACGCCGTACTTGTTGGAGCCCACATCGAAGAAGAAGCGCTTGTTGTCCACAGTCAAGGAGGTGCCCTCGGGCAGCTCGGCCGGCTCCTCCTCCACTCCGTAGTCGTCGATGAGCTTGGCCAGAGCGTCACGGAACTCGATGAGCCCCTGCGCGGGCAGCGCAATGGTCTGGCCCTGCGTGGAGCCCAGGCCAGGCCCCCGGTTGACCGTCTGGCGGATGCGCAGGAAGCGGCCGCGCTGGTTCTCCTTGAGATCCATGTAGTACTTGCGGTTCTCGCGCACCAGGAACTCGCTCTTGAGCGCCCGGCGCGGCTCGTCCTGTGCCTGGGCCAGGTCCGGCGGCTGGCTGGGGCCCAGCTGCGCGTAGTGCTCGATGAAGTCGCCCAGGTAGTCGCGGAACTCCACGGCCACTGACATGGAGAGAGTGAGGCGGCTCTTGTTGCCGCCCGCGCCCACCTCGGCGATCTTCAGGAAGCGGCCCTTGGCGTTCTGCTTCACGTCCAGGTAGAAGCGCTTGTTCTGGATGTCCACCCGCTTGGAGGCCAGCTCCTGCGTCTCGTGCTGCAGCCCCCCTGGGGCCCCGCCGCCGCCGCCGCCACTGCCGCCGCCGCCCCCGCCGCCACCACCGCCCCCGCCGGAGCCTGAGCCCGAGCCGGGGTGCCCCAGGGAGCCGCCCGAGCCCAGCGCCGCACCACCCTGCTCGCTGCCGCTGTCTCGGTCCGCCATGATGCTGCGCTCCGCTGCCGCGCCGCCGCCGCCTGCCGCTCCGCCCGCCGCCTCAGTCGCCTCAGCCGCCGCTGCTTTCCCTCCCCGGCTCCGCCTGCTGCCGCCGCAACCCCCACAGCCAGTCAGCCACTCTCGCGAGATCTGCGGGAGAGACGAGACAGACGAGACCCGGTAACAGGGCACTGACTCCCCAGTACAGTAGCAGGGCGCCCTACTGTACGCGCCCACCCGCCCGCCGGCACGTGACCTGCGCCCCCTCCCCGCTGCCAGCCCCCCGTCCGCCCGCCCGCCAGGCGGCGCCCACCCACCGGCCCTCACCCTACAACCCTGGCTGGGTGGGGGAGAGGGAGCAGGACGCGCCGCGTCGCAGCTGCTGCTACCGCCACCACTGCTACCACCACCACCACCGTGGCTGTCGCTGTTGGCCAGACCCTAGGCGGCCTCGGCCTGGGGAGTTAGGGGACTAGGGGTGAGAAGGAGTCTGCCATACTAAGCACAGGGAGTGGGCCTAAGCTCTGCTTTCCAGTGACCCCCTAAAGAGGATGTGGGGGGAGGGGCCTGCGCAGCGCAGCAGAGCCCGCTGCAGAGAGGGGACACCGAGTCACGGCCACCCCCTCTCATGCGGGCCTGAGTCAGATCCAAACCCAAACCTAGACAGGCCCGCCCGCCACCCGGCTGGGTTGTCTCCTACCGCACAGCCCTGGCCGCTGAGGCAGGCGAGGAAGAGAGGTGGTGCGGTGGTAACCCTTAGCTGCAGAGGGGGCTACTGGGGATGAGGACGGGGCGCCGGCAGCAGTGGCGCGGAGCAGCAGACACCTAGCCTGTCCCTCCCCTCTCCCTCCTCTCGCTCCCGCCGCTCCCCCTCCCCGCGCACACGGCAGTGGCTCTGGCCTCAGATGATCCCGCTCCCCCCTCCCCCCAACCGCAGCCCCGCACGGTCGGGCGGGCGGGCGCACTCACCGATGGGGGGAGCCCAGCAGAGGACAGTAGACGCACCAGGGCTAGGGTGCCCGCAGTGCCTGTTCCCGTCGACTCTGCCCTTCCCCACATGCAACAATCAAAAAGAAACCCCACACTCACCCAAAAACCTGCAGCCAGTCCCCCCTGGGATCAAGACTGCCTGCCTGCCCGCCCGCCTCCCCCTCCTTCTGAGATTTGGGGAAGGGGGCACCCTGCTCAGGGTTGAGCCCAGCCTGGGTTGCTGGCCAGCTCTGCGGATGAACCAGGCCCTGTGAGCATTCAGACCCTAGCCCACTCTTCTTCCTTTCTGGAAGGACCCAGAATGGAGGAGAAAACCAAGCAGGCTTTCGGAAATTCATGAGCTAAAAATGTCAGGAATTTCCTGGGAAACGCAGTTCCTTACGGGATTCATTAAAGCAGGTTCGCTTGCCCCTTTTACTCTTCCTCCCAGAAACTTCTGTCAAGGAGAGACCCACTCCCAAAAGTAAAACATTAAATGGTCGCTGGTTTTTATGCAGACAGCTAGGTTGCTGACCATTAATTAACCAGTGAGTCTTCGGACGGTGATAGCTAAAAGGGATCTTCTCTGGTGTTAGAAAGGGGCTCAGGAGTAGAGGAGTGGCTCAGAGATTAACTGATTTCTCTTTTACTAGACCTGATGTATAACCTAGGGCCTATTTCCAGATAGTATTGAGTGCTCATACTCTCTCACTGCAGTCTACAGCGCTGGCACTGTGGGAAAGCTAAGGCCTATCTCCAGGGGACCCCCGCCAATGCTCCCACACTCTCCCCCATCACCTTCTACAGGCAGCTGAGAGGATATAGATCACACAGCTCTGCCCCTAGCTTTCTCAAGCACAGATCGTTACCTCTATCCTGAGAAAAGTATACCTATTCCATTTGCGGGTTCTATTCCCATTGAGCATCTCCTTCTTCCCCCAAAAGTAAGAAGACTTGCCTCCCTCACTCTTAGCCGGAGGGACAACTGGGAATATGGTTGCCCAGCTTCCTAGAAAAGAGTGGACTAACGATCAAGAAACCAAGAGCAGCCTAGAGAATAAGCCTTGATTCCTGAACCCTCAAAGCCCCCTTACCATATCCCTTCACCTCCTGAACAAACTTGCCTGCTAAGTATTCATTCACAGCTTCCTTTTTCTCTTAGCAAGAGCCCCATTCTACTCAGCATTAGCTGCTTCAGCCCTGGGCTGAAGTTTGCGACTTCCCACTGAAAAGAAACAAGAAGCACCTGGCCACCAAGGAGCAAACAGGCACAGTCCTGTGCACCCGTCTCAGAACCACCCACCTATGCCAGTGGTCCCTGAAATGGCTCTCTGAAGGAAAGGCCCCACACCAAGAGATAAAAAACCTAGTCTTTGGGCCCCATAAAGAATTTCCCCTTATTTGGGGGGCAACCTCTAGTACCCTGTAGTACTCTTTCCGTGCTGATTTTTTTCTGCACTCCCTCCCCTGTCCCAAAGTCTATTGGGAAAGGGACACAGGAACTTTTGAAGCACTTTCAACTGCACAGAAATACATGTGTGAAGAAGCAGTAGCTCCTCCAGACTCAAACAGTAGTAATCAGGACCCTGGATAGACCCCAGCCTCTCCAGGGACAAAAAGGCTGAGTAGCAGGCTCTCCACAGAGAATGGTGTGGGGCATTACGCTTCACTTGTAAACTGAGGCTAAGATCTGGTATAATCCGATCTAGAAGGGCTGCTGCTCTTCCTCAAGAGTTTACCTCGAGTCAAACCAAGCCCCTGCTCCCTAATGCGAACTCAAGGCAGCAAAAAGGCCAACAAGAATACGATGAGGGCCCCACCCACCCCCTGCCAGTCCCTGCCTTTCCTCTGTGCTGACTGCTGCCCCCAGGACGGAAGACTAAGACTCGAAACTGCCCGCCCTCCTATCCCAACTTCCAGTCTAAATTTTCTTGCCCTCCGTCCTAGACGTCTATATACAGGGATTCCGAAGTGATTTGAGTTTGGAAGTGCCCTGTTTTTCTGAAAAAGTGACTGCCACCAAGAACTGACTTCTTAGTTCCCCAGCGCAGAGGCAACTGATGAAGTTTCTAGACAGAACACAAGTTGAATATCATTTGTACACTTAAACTGGGAATTTTAAGCTCAAATCAGCAAATGACTGGGACCTAGATCTCTCCACATAAATACGTATTTATTTTATTCTATTCATTATATATGTATAAAACTTTTGCCCTTATATGCCAGCTTCTCTCCCACTTTATAAGAGTATCTAAAAAGCAAACAAGATAAACAATGCCATTTCCAAAATCATTCAGTGATAAATAGGATTTTTAGCATATTTTCACTACTGAAACGAGAGTTAATTTCAGAATAAGCCTGTAAGTGTGGGCTTTTTCTCAGACTAAGGAGGTGAAAGGCAGCTTTCCTTGGGCTATAGTGTACAGTAGCCTTAAAAGGCAATCTGGGAGAAATGAACATAAACTTCCCCAAAAGTCTTAAAACAAAAAGTTTAAACTTTAAATAAAACTTCATAGTTATATTTGCATTTTAACACTGAAAAGTCATTAGAAAATAAGTGGATTTTAAGACTTCTAACCATTCGTTAATTATCTAAACAATATACTAACTTCGTGAATGAAAAGTCTGTTCTAGTATCCAGATGTTTGAATTTGTTACTGTAAAACAAATAGTTGTAAAACTAAATGTATAATTTCATTACAATGTAGGAAAGACAAAAGGAAAACGAAATATACAGCAAATTAATATGCAGCAAAAATCCATGTTAATGAAAAACTTGTGAAAAAGTAAACATTTCCTTTCTCCTCAAAATATGCTTACATTTTAAAGACAATGTCTCTAGATTTCTTGAGCCCTTTTATTATTAATACAACAGACACATTTTAAAGAGAATAGAGACTGCTTTATTTTTAATCCCCCTGTCTCTATGTATTTAACAAACTCTTACCAACAAAAAATTGTGCGCAAAGAAATAGACATTAGGCAGAACAAAAAGGAAAAAAAGCTTTAATTTTCTTCAGCCTGAACTACAAGTGATTCTGAAATAATCTAATTCAGCTTTGGTTTTATAAAGTAAAAATCAACACACATTTGTAAAACAGACTTGGAAAGAGGTTGTCTACCTCTGGGTAGTAAACCCTTTTGATTATAGAGCTCCTAATAGAAACAATATGTTGATTAATATTTTACAAAATCACAAATTTCCAAAATAATGAACATTAGAGCTTGTGTTTTCAAGTGATACTTAGGTTAAATACCAATCTTAAACCAGACAACTATCTTCAATACCCAAATCATTAAAACTAACTGGGATGTTATACTGTAAATGTTCAAAGTAGAGGAATTAGCCATTTCTTCTCATGACTATCTACCAAAAAAATTGAGAAACTCTCAAATAAATCTTAACATTTAACAACAACAACGACTAATAGTAACAGCATTTCCCAGATCGTTCTTTAAAAGCGTATCCCTTTTCTATAGTTCACTTAATCTTGAAAATCATGCCTCTTCAATGCTATTTTAATGTTTAGGAATAAAGATATGAAGTAAACATTTAAAATATGAAGAGAACAATCCACTTGATAAAAATCCTCGCATTTCCAAAATGTTTTCATTTTAAGCATTTGCAGAAGAGTTAAATAAACGTAGCAGACATTCTAAATTCGATAAAAGATTCAGAGAACCCGACATTTTATGTACTCCAAAGGTCCAAACAGAACCGATGTAAATGTCAATAGCTGTCTCCCTTCCGGCTGATACTTAAATGGTTTTACTAGTACTCAAAGCAATGAAATCAGCAACTCTCTCTCCACACTCTAGTCAACACTTCAATTTCCAAAGCCGCAATTCGCAAACGTCAGTTGGGCGGGGGCGGTGGGAGATCTTGAAGTAATCCAAAAATTTCCTTTCCCCTTTGACAGTCCACCAAAAGATGTCAAACCAAATCCAGCCTATTGTAAAGCTCTGGGACCTCCCTTCCAAGGACACCGAACACAAACATAGACACCGCTGCGAAAAGCTGTCCAAAAGCGCCTGGCCGGCCAGAAATGTAAGGAGCCCAGACCAAAACGAATTAGAACCCTCAACAGAGGGTCCCGCCGACACCGCGGAAAGGAAGGTGGCATTTATTCCGGGGTAGACAGCTACGAACCAGAGTTACCCCAGCCAGTCTCTTGGGCCTCTCCAACCCAAGTTCAGGTTTATGGCAGATATATTGGTTGGGTGCCTTCCCCTACAAACATCACAGCCCGCCTCCGGGTCCCACCGCCGCTCACAGAGAAGACCCCTCAGCTTCACATCCGTTCCTTTTGCCTTCGGACAAAGGCAGAGGAGCTGTGGAGCTGACCCAGCGCTGTGGGGCAGTAAAAATGCCTTGTTCGGGCCACCCATCTTTGGGCCTCGCTTCATCTGCGATGTCAGCACCAAAGGGTTTTTTTGTTGTTCTTGTTTTGTTTTGTTTTCTGGTTTTGTTTTGTTTTTACAACGCATCCTGGGCGGCTGTATGCATTTGGTGGTGGTGGGGTGGGGGCAGCCGAACAGAGGAGGGGTTGGCAGTGAAGCCTGGGTTATAGAACTCTCCTTCCTCTCCCTCCTTCCACTGTTGCCGTGCAGGGAGTGTCAGCCACGTCTAGCGCACAGTCCCAGGCCCCAGGGCGAAGGCGGCCAGGGGAAATGGGGCTCAGGGATTGCTAAGGAAACGCATCACTGGTGGTCTCCAGCGCCTGCGGAGGTAGGATCGTCTCTTTTCTTAAGGGGCGTGTTATTTTGTTCTCTTTTGGAAGTAGGAGGGGGTTCATTCGTTTCTCGCTGCGGGGGGTGGGGGAGAACGTTGCTGCACCGCCTGGGTCTCCAAGAGGGAGGGTGCGGGGATGTCTGCAATGGTACTATAATTATTCCTGTGCTGAGAGGGCAAGTAGAGGGGACGGGGCGGGCGGCACCTCGAGCTGTGGCAGTGGCAGCAGGGAAGGTCGCGAGGGGCTTACCCGGGCGGGCGGGCGCTGTCCTGCCGCAGGTGAGGGAGGGCGCAGGCTGGCGGGAGGGAGGGCGCGCGCGAGGCAGGCGCGAGGAAGGGGGAGGGGAGGAGGGCGCGCGCGCGCACACCTGTCCTGGACAGCGGCGCTAGCCGAGCTGCGCCTCACTTGGGCTGTGCGGGCTAAGAAGGAAGGAGGGCGGGCTGGCAGGCGGGGGCGGGACGCCGAGGGGAGGAGGAGGAGGCGGCTCGGATGGCTGGCTCGGCTCTCGCTCGCTCTCCCTCCCGCGGGCAAGTCCGGCTCACACCCTGCTTCTCCCGCTCACTCACAGCCCCCTTGGCTCTCCCTCCTCCTCCTTCCCCTGCGGGATCCGCTCGCCGCCGCCGCCGCCGCCGCCGACGGCAAGTCGTGGCAGCCAGACGTCGGCGCGTAACCCGGCGCTCCGTGCGTGACTCCAGGCGACGTCAGCGCGCGCTCCGCGTTCCCCACCCCTCCTCCCAACTCCGTGGCTCGCGCCCTTCGCTCTCGCGTCCCTCGGTTTTAGCTGCCGCCGCGGCGGCCGCCGAGCGCGCTCTTTCCGCCCCCCTCGCGCGTGAGCGCGCCCTCTCGGCTGCGGGCGCGTCAACATTCCGCCGCCCAGGCCTTGAGGCGCGTCTGAGGAGGGGGCTGTCTGTGGCCTCTCCGCCCACACTTCCTCCACCCACCGCCCGCAGCGCCCCAGAAGGACCTATTACTCTTTGAGCTTCTGAAGGCCGAAGCCAGGCTCAGGCGGGGATAGAACCCTGAAGGGCCTGCGCCAGCTCCAACTTAGGGCCCTGTGCATCGCTGCGGCTGCCGCTACCGCCCGATCACGCCGCACCCCCGCCCCAACTCCGCCCGTGTCTCTGAGGAGGCAATAGGCCTTTCATCTCCCGGGAAGGTCTCACCTTGGCCCTCAGACACCCGCCGAGAGGGGTTGTAAGGAGAGAATTAACATAGAGAAGAGGGGCTAGACCACTTTTCAGGCTCTGGCCCCGGGAATCCTTGACAGGAGGCGTGGGGTTGATGCCCAGCCTCCCACGCAGTGTAATATATTGAAGCCGGGCCCCTTGGACTTCCTTGGGCCGAGGGGGAAAGGGTAAAAGTTAATTTTCATAAGTTTCTATGCAAGGGCTAAATGTGAAATTACAAAATGTCCTTTAAGACAGTCTTCTTGAAATCGTATCAAGTTAGACAAGATTTTTGGTGCACGGTAACGCTTTCCCTCGCTTTCTATGCTGTCACGTTTCCATCCTGCAACAGTGAGTACGTAGATGGAACGTGGATCAGCTAATAACTGCAGCAAAATAAAAACTGCCTTTATCATCTTTATCAGTATTTAAATAGACCTCCGAGAAGTCCAACTGTGATTTAGGAAAACTTAGTCATTGCCTCAACCTATTTAACTGTGTTTTGTTTTGAAGTTACTTTGCAGATACACCCTTTATTAGGCAATGGTAGACTTTTAAACTCACTTGTTAGAGGACCTTTTCTAAAAGCATATCTAGTTGAGCCTGCGAGGCAAGTAGGACTAAGGTATAATTAATCCCATTTTACAGATGAAAACTGAGTCATCAAAATGTAAGTCAGATGTTCAGCGTTGTGAGGAGTCTATCACTGATAGAGGGAAAACTCTAAGGTATATTATTGCCTGCTTTATTCAGTAAACCAGAAATCTCTCAATTGTTTTCTTCCAAGTATCTTTTGCTGCCCCCTTTTAGTATTGTAGGCAGTGCCTGATGGCTGAGAAGAATCGCAGAGGACTAGAAAAGGTTTGAGTGTGAAATTTTCTGCCACAGAGAATTAGAGCTCAGAAATAAGTTATTGCGAAACAATTCAACTTCCCTGTTAACGACGACAACAACAACATCATGCTTATTAATTCCTAGCTGGAGGTGAGAAAATGAGACTGGCTTAAGGGTGATGGGTCATTTCCTTTGAATTGCTTCTTTATATTCACCTCATCTTTAGGTGGCAGCACTACTATATAAATATCCTTGGAAGTACAGTCTTCTGCAACTTAATATCCTACAGGATATTTTGTCCTAAATGTTTCCAACTCTATTGTGGAGATTAAAAGCTGATGATTTTATGATATAAAATCATAGCTGAGAATTAGAAAACTTGGAGGTTCTAGAGGAAAAACAGAAAGGCTATCAGAGACATTAATAAAATACATGGAGCTACGGAGGGAAAACGTTAGAAAGTTTCAAGAAAAAAGTTTTTTAGGTGTTTGAGGAGCAAGTAGCATCTCTTTAAACCTTGTCTTTTATTGAAACATAGGACAAGATAATCTTCCAAAGCAAACCATCCCTTCTCAGTACTGCATATTTATCAAGCATTTACAGATTTGAAGTTACTGTATAGTTGCCTGTACTCAACTGTAATTTTAAAATTCAGATGCAGTTTTTCCTAATTAACAGCATCAAGCTTATGAAAATTCCAAGTAAGACTTTATTGTTGACCCTTGTTGAAGAGAACTCTACTTGGCTTCTTTCCTGGCTTTCCTAAATTGTTCACATCCAAGATAAACTACCATCATTCAGGCTTACAGAAGGGAGAAGACAAGCTGAACCAAATGTAAAACGGTAGCAATTTACAGGTAATTCTATATCTTAATTTCTCCCACATTTTTAGGTTAAGAAATTGTGATATACGGGGGTTATTTGGATCAAGTGTTTTCTAAGTAGAACTTTGTCATAATTAATTTTGTGTGTTTATAGTAGTTCTCACTGTGTCCATTTATCCAAGCAACCCAATACAATTGAATTTATATGCATTTCAAAATAGTCTCCATTTGATTTACCGTGTAAGTACAACCACCAAGGAATATAGAGGTATGACAATCAGGAGTGAGAAATAAAAGTATTTCTGGATAGAGGATGAAGTGTTAATAGTCTTTCTTCATGGCAGCTTCCATCGTTCTCAAGTCAAATTTGGAGGAGGAGTCTCAAGCAAATTGGTAGTACTCAAACCCTGCAGTATTATGTTAAGATTTTTAAGCTCTCTGGTGCCAACAAATCATGCAGCCTGGGGGCCTTTGCTCCAAACTTCTGCCAACTCCATTTTGGCAGTAAAATGTTCTGTTGAACAAAGTTTGCACGTGTTTAGGGTGCGAAGTGGTTCGTCAGGCATTTATCTGGTTTTATTCCAGTTTAGGGACTTGAAGACAAGGGTCAGAAGTGTGAGACTTGTAGAGTTGATATGTGCACTGAAACAGTCTATAGTAGCAATCTTGAATTTTTGCTTTAAGCAAGGACAGCTTTTTCTTTGTTGATGTTGGAGTAGTTAAAGTGAATTCTTTAGTTTACTCCTTAAATGCTAACATGATATTGAATTGGTTTTCATAATCAGGTAAGCAGAACCTTCTCTGTTGAGGGGATAAAGCTGGGGAACATCATTTCTCATCCTCCTAACTATACCACCACCAAAATGTGTTTATCCAGATGAAACTCACTAAACAATAACTTGAGAGCAAAGGGACCAGTAATTATTTAAACTTGATCTCATTTGTCAAATTTTATGTAACTATGAATCTCTGATCTTTTTTAGTATCAGTTGTCTGGCTTCATCTTTTTGACCCATCTCCTCCCATTCTGGAATCATTGGTTAACAGCACCTGAGCCAGATGTGTGTGCTAATTTGTTTTATTCCAAGGGGTCCTCTTCCTATAGAAAATGTATACAATCTCAATTTCTATTATTTTTTTCAAGTAATTCTCACAGAAAATCCTTATAGAATCTGGGATAACAGTTTGAAAGTCATTAAGTACTGTTGAAGCATATTTTTCTTTGTCATTTAAGAGTAATGGCAAGAATAAAATACCAAAATAAAAGTAACAGATGTTGAAATGATACTGTTGTCTTACATTTACCATAATCAGCAAAATGTAAATTTGTAGGCTACAAGTATGACAATTTGAAAATGGTAGTTATTCTTG